AAAAATTGAAAACAGAAAACGGATTGATAATGATAAAGAGAACATGACCTAATTGATTAGTAAATTGCACGAATTTTCTTTTAGATCACCTCGCTCTTAATTATCTTGTATGTTCACGTTAATAAATATACTTGATACACGAGCATTTTCAAGAAATTCTATTTAGAAAGAGCATTTTATACATAATAAAAAGCATTTTTAAATTTAGAAAGTAAATTTTAGTACATTTCAACAATACTCTATATTTTCACTCTTTACTTTTTTTCTCAATGAACAATTTGTTGATTTCTCCTCATATCTTATTAATATAATTTTTTTTATATGTTAATAGCCAATTAATTCAAATATGGTTTAAATAATTTAAATAAGTAATGCTATTTAGTAACCATTGACATTAAAATATCAGTCAGGTGGCACTAATATGACGTTAAATGAGAAATATAGTTAAATAAGTCACTTAAATTTCACACTTCATTGAACCTACCAGATAACACCATTTAAACTATTATTCAATTTAAATTATAGAGTATTAAAATTTGTCAACTATTAAATGCAATCACCGTTAAAATACAGAATCTTTTGGAGCTTATTTTTAAGTAATTATTCGTTAAAATAGAGAGTATTTTGTATTTTTTAGAGAAGCTCTAAATATGACTAAAGACAATTAAAGAAATGCGTATCATAAATTCTTTTAATCTTTATGAAAAGAGCTAAAGGTTTCATCCTAACTCTCATTACCCTATTCTGAACGTCATACTCAGTAGCTACTACAAATCCTATTGAGTTCTTCCTCTACAAGTAAGTTCGACCAGCTGTAAATAGCATCTCACGCTCACTCCAGTCGGGCACGCCGGACATGTCATTGGTATACACAGGGGACCCTCCATATATGGATGGGCATGGATTAGGTTTGACTTGATGATAAACCCACATGTGACATCGTGATCAAGGAAAGTTACAATCAAAAACTTTGATTTACTGTAAAGGATGTGCATGGCTACAGAGGTCAATAAAATAATAATTATGGGAGAAAAAAGTATTATAGAATGACTCACACTTTTGCATTATCTTTTCAGCATCATCATCTATATCTCTCCACTAGTTTAGATTAAAAAGGAAAAAAAGAGTTTTTGGTTAATTTATATGAGCACTAAGCTCATAAGATTCTATTTTGTGTTCCCTAAATCATGGTTAAGGTGGTGGATTAGTTAAAGTAACCTTGGATTATAGGAAAATGAGAACTATGTGCAGTTATATTAATTTATATGCACGTAAAGAATATGTTTTTCCAATTGGTACTAGGATTCAACTTAGACAGATTACAAAAAGACGTTGATTTTTTTTTTTTTGCAATATATTTTTTCATTGTTTGACTATGTCTAATACCCGGTGTCTTTTGAGAATAAGGTTCTGCATGTAAGAATTTTCAAAAATTAGTTTGGAAAAAGTTAACTTTGCAGTTGGTTGACTTGCCATAAAAAGTCAGCCAAGTTTAGGGGTGGTAAAAGGGAATCCCTTTAGCAAAAGGAGTTTATTAGGATTCTCTCTCTTAATGGATCTTTACTCATTGCAATGAACCTCTCCATCCCTCCCTGTCTTTTATATTTATGTATGCATATAACACAACAAATGTTTGTTTGAAGGCAAGCCTTCTCTAAGAAGTCGATTAAAATTTCGTGGGATTGTACTATTTAATCTTGTCTAATAACATAAACTTAAACGACTCTAACGAGAGAGGGCATACCCCATTAGAGAATAGCATTGTGTGCAAGAAGTTTTAAAAATTGGGAGAAAAAAAGTTAGCTTTGTAGTTGACTTGGCCCAGAAAGCCTGCCAAATTTTGAGGCACTAAAAGGGAATCCCTTTAACAAAGGGAGTTTATAGAATTCTCTCTCTTAATGGATCTCTACTCATTGCTAAGAGCTTTCTCTCTCTCTCACTCTATATGCACCAAAAAATTAAAGTTGGGCTGGGAGGCATGTGTTGTGTGCTCTGAAAAGAAGGGGTGAAATGAAAAGAAGGAGTCACTGTCTTGGTTCCTAGTTGATGTTCTTTTATGAGGGAGAGGAATAAACTTTTTTTTGCTGCTTAAAAAGACAGCATTTTTCCTTTTAAAAGGTTGCCTTTTGGAAGTGGGAATACAGAATCATGTGTTTTTATCAAGATTCCTCATTGTCAAATCTTGCAACTAAACATTTTAATGAAAATTAGTATCCCTTATTGATATGTTTTTGATAATCCATCGACATGTTGATTGTTGTGTGTCAAACAAAATGTTTAATAAAGATGTGGTATCCATCTCCGTCCTGCATATATTGAGAATAAAGTTGGTGGATTTCTCTTCGATTTTGTTATGCTTCAATTTTCTACTTGGAAAAATATATGCTTTTAGGTATATTGTTCAAGCATTCACTTCTCGTAGTGACATGGAGAGAATCATTTCATGACTCCAATTAGGCAAATATTCTACGAAATCTGCCGAATTTTTTGATTATCAACATAAATCTTGATGGTTTTCCTTACCCTAAATTCTTTGTTTAATTTTAATTCGTGCACGAGTAATTTATTGGATATTTGATATTAATTAACGTGCACGACAATAATCCTTGCTCAAATATTCAAATCAAAATTCATCTTTGAATAATTTTAGGGTATGTCTGGTATGGCTATTTT